AAATTAGCTGAAAATTTATAATTCATATTAAGGTAAATATAAAGTTGTTAAAAGGCTCATTTTAAGCCGGTTTTATCAAAACAGCTAACTCAATAAGCCAGAAACCTAAGTTTCAAGATTTCGTTAATGTATGCCTAGACCTTTGTTCCTTCTTAGCAAAATCTTCAGGCTAGCTTAAGATCTTTCTAAAACGAACCGTTTAATAACACTAGGTAGATAGATAAATAATAGCACTATAAAGATAAATGTAAAGATTACATGTTTGGTTAAAAAGGGGCATAAGTTATCTTAAATATTCAAGCTTATAATATTGCTACCTTTATTAAAAGCTGCCAAAGATCGATGAGAAATCGATTTTTAAGAAACTATTTTCCTATGATTTGAATATAATAAGGTTTTTTTCAATAATACAAAAAACATTGAACTGGAGGCTTTAAATTATATTAAAGAAAGGCGAAATATGCTTAATTATTATCCTTTCGTTAAGGAAATTTTTTATAAATATAATACTGCCATACCTTTATCAGCTACAATTGAAAGGTAATTTAGTTTTAGCACAATGTTAAGTAGACCAAAACGGAAAAGGTCTAATGATAAATTATTTCAAAAATTTGATTATCTTATAAAATAATGAATCTATTTTAAATACTCTTTTGCAAATTAATATTTCAACTCCCATTAAAATACTAGTCTCCCTTCCCTATCTATTCTAAGAATCGGATATTACTAATTAAAATGCCTGATTATTATAATTAACTCATCATTGCAAATCCTCATTCTTATTATATGCATATGTTATGTTCTTCACAAATAAATAATAAAAATTATATTTTATAAACTATTCTAAAATAATTGATAATGATAATTTACAAGTATCTTGTATTTAAGATACTCTAATTAGGCATGTATCTTTTTGATATTTTATAAAAGATACTAGTATCTGTATCTAAAATTCATTTTTTTACAAAGAATCTGTATCTGTATATAGATTCTATTTCCGGAGGATATGCCCAACTCTGCTATTTGTTTGTTTAATTATATTTGTTTTTGTGCATTAAGATAGAACTGCCCTAAAATTGGTTGTAATTATTTTTAATTATTTTTAACAAAATCTCCATTAACTTCATCATAAGTTTCAGGGTTGAATTTACTTAGAAAAAAAAAATAAATAATTATATATATATAACTAATTCTGAACGGTAGAAATAGTAATTAAACCTAGAAGGCGAGAAAAATTAATAAATAAAATTATCGAGAAAAAAATAAAATTCTTTGTTCTGACTTCAGAGCCTTGTTTGAACAAACAAAAACACGATTTTTTATCGTTCTTAATATGCTTTCGAGAAAGGAGGAACATAGAATTTTTAAAGTTTTTTGAAGAAAAATTGTCAACGGTGGCGGTACGGTATACCGGTAAAAATATAGCGGTCTTTCATTGTTAAAAAAAATAAAATAATAGGAATTAGGAACATGTTTGGAAACCAATATGGATTAATTTAATAAAAATTTAGCCATCACATGGGACGATCCTAAAGAATATTTCTAAATTAGTTCAGAACTTAGCTTAGAAATTTGCCATTCAAATTTCTTATCACGGCTCCATATATTAGTCTTTCATTTTAAACATTTCCTTAAATTTATATATTTTGCCTTTTGTTTTTGAAATAAATTTTTTCTTATTTAAAAAAGCCTTCTATCAGATACCTCTTTTGTTAATTTATAAAAGATTTTAAAAAGAAAAAAAACTTAAAGATTGAAATTAAATTTTATCAATTATATTTCAAACCTACAAAGTCAGCCTTTAATATAATATACATATCGTATAATTTAAAATTTAAATTAAATTTTAAACTTGTTATTGTATACTTAAAACTTTAGTATGACCTTTGATCCTATTTCTTACCAATATTTCTTGTTTATTTTTATTAAATATTTAAAATTTCCCTTTGTTTTTTTTTTCTAGAGAGAACAAATTTTAAAATAAATTAAATTTATTGATATAATATTTATAAAATTGCATGAATATGATAATGATATAAATTTTAAACCAGGATTTTCCTGGAGGAGGGAGGGGGCATTCCCTATAAATTTTATTAAAGATCTTCTAAGATCAGACATTTGAGCTATGATTTTTGATAAGTGTCATTATTTTAAAAAAATTATTAATTTTTAATTATAACTATTTGTCCTCTAACCATCTATTTTCACTAAGTGTAAATTCCTGGTTAAGTGACGTAATATGTCATTCAAATGGAAACCTTAAGTTTCTTATTTAAAATATCATCCCACCTTTTTATAGAAAAGTTCTTTATAGCTCGATTTGATTAGGCAAATGTCCGAAATGTCATATTATATTTTATAATAATAATTTTATTCTTCTTTCATTTACCTTAAAATAAATAAAGATTTTAAAAAAAAATATATTATGAAATTATTAATAATAAATATGCAATATCTCTCTTGAATTAACGTGAATACGACGGAGATAGTATAATATATCGACAAAAGTTCTAATACACTTGAGTTTTGCTGGAAGAGGATAATATTGAATTTCGTTTAAAATTCAAAAATTTAAGACTTTTACCATAATAAATAAATATATATTTATATCTCCACTAACCCATATAATATCTTATTCAAATATGAGTTCCTTTTAATATAACCAATTTCTAATAATTTTTCAGCGTGAGACTCTTATAACCAATTAACGACTAATGCATAAAGTAATATCCTCCCTCCAAAAATCTATAAGCTCAGGCTTTTACCCCTTAATAATAATGTATATTTCTATCTCCACAATACATACCATGTCTTACTCAAATATGAGATTCTTCTAGTTATAACCAGTTTTTAATAATTTTCAGCATGAGGCTATTATAAACTGATTACCAAGTGCATAAAGTAATATCAGCCAAAAATTATATAATTGGATCTTGGATCTGCATATCTCGAATTATAATGCCTGATCTATAAGCATTCTTTTAGGTTCCTATGAACCAAAAATTAGAAAAAAAATTTTTTTCTAAGAAATTTATAATCTTTTAAATATAAAATATATCTAATTTTTTGAGATTGATCCTTCGTTTTTATTTTTTCTTTATTTCTTTCTTTCTTTCTTTCTTTCTTTCTTTCTTTCTTTCTTTCTTTCTTTCTTTCTTTTCTCATATTACATTATTTATATTATTTGCTTAGACATAAAGAAATAAATTCTTTTTACTAATCTAAGGTAGTAAATATTTTTGTTTTCTTGTAAAAAAGTATATAAATAAGTAAATAAAATAAAATTTTATATACATAATTTATATAATATTTATTTTTAAAATACATAATTTTTTTTTTTTGGAGAAAATTATTATTAAAATGAATTATAAATTTTTGGCAATATTTTTCTCATTCTATATCCCAATTAAAACCACTGATTGGACAAATGGGTAATTAGATATATTGATACATATTATTATTATAGTATTTCATTTACGATTAATTAATTTTAAAAACATTTTGGAGTTAAAAAATTATATCTAATAATTGGCCTTTCTATTATTATTGGCTAAAATAAAAGTAGATTCAATGCTTCGTTTTTTAAAAAAAAAATGATCAGCATCTTAGAATCATATCAACTAAGATGTAATACAGTTTCTAAAAGTAAATAATTAAGTTGTTAAAAAATATATATCGTTGTTTCTTCTTTTTTTTTCTTTCTCTCAACAAATTATTTGTGGACATTTATATATTTCTAATTTATTTAGACTACGTCTCAAAATCGGTCGAATTTTTGTATTATTGTAGTTTAAAAATAATAAAGAACTATTTGTTCTTTTGCCGTTAAAATTGAAACGTGTCAATCGCAGCGTTTTTCTAAACGCAAAAATTAAATTTTAAAAAATGCGTAAACGTAGCTATATTTAAATATGTAACGTCTAAATTTAAAACCAAGAAGAAAAAAATGTTGTCCAATTTAAACCAAACTCATTTATAATGCATTTTTTTCTTATTTCTAAAAGATGCGTTAAAAACGTTCAATTTGTTCTCGCCATTATTCGTTACCGAATGAAACATTGTTTCTAAATGTGTTAACATCGATAATATAATTTAATCCAAATTATCATAATTTCTTTTTTTAAATATATATTTTTTTCAGGCCTAATGTTTGCGTCGAACATATCACGATAATGGAAAGGGTGCAAGAAAATTTTTCGAATTACCATCTAATCAGAGCTAAAAGAACTAGCATATCAGCAATTAGTGAGCTAACCTATTGTCAAGATTATTACGATGTACATATATGCGAACATAGGTTTCACCACTTTATTAATTTTAATTTCAAATAACATTTTGAGTTTTTAAGTTGATATATTAAAGCTTATTTTACCTTTACATTGTTACTTGCAAAAAATTTATGTATCAATATCAATGTTAATTATATTTTTTTCAATTTTTACAGGAGATTCATTAACATTTCCATTGAAATTTTAAACATATACATTTAAAAACAAAACTCACTGGACAAACTTAACTTACTTACCTTTTATTTATTTGCCCCAAAAATCGGTTTAGTCCAAGCCCGCCTTTTAAACTATCCGCCTTAATATTGAGGTTTAGGTTTATTAGCTCAAATGCTAAAAGATTCTTTTACAACACCTTTTGAAAACCCATAGATTAAGATGCAAAAACTAATTGTTGAATTAGTATTTCCAGAAATTTTCTACGTGATATATGTCTTATCAAATGATAAATAAAAGCCGTTCTCGTAAAAACTAAAATTGATTTTCTAAATATATAATGATTCAAAATAAAATATTCTCGATTTTACGAATAAAAACAAATTATTTTAAACATTTTTTTTACATGCATTTTAGGGAATGGCGAAATTAAGCCAGTTTTAGCGAACTTTTAGAAACAAAAAATAATTAATTTGTGCATCATTTATTTTCTTCCCATTTTTAAAAACACATAAAATTATGCAGTATATACAGAGAACCTCGTTTGCTGGAGAAATTTGCTGTAACATATTCTTGTTGCTACGGGTATACCACTGCAAAAAACCTTTCACAACCACATTGTAATCAAAGTTAGTACAATTAAATTTTTTTTTATTATAAAAGTATATTAAAAATTCAATTTATTAAATGTATTATATGTGTTAGCGTCAATGTATTATTTTGACAATTTTATATTATTTTTTGAAATTTGAAAAATCTGATTTTACTGGAAAGATATTTTATCATGTTTGGAATTCCTATCTTATGAATTGCAGACAATTTCGCTGTTATCTTTTGAATCAATTATAATTTATATATATATATATATGGAAAATATATAAAATATAATATAAATTATATTAAGTTTAAAAATTTTAAAGTTCGTGGAAAAATTGCCTGGTATAATCAGAATTTTTATTAAAAACGCGCTATTAAAGTTGAAAAAAATATCATATTTAAGGAACGCTAACATATGCATCAAATGAAAATAAATATATATAATTTTATTTGCTTCTATAAGGTATATAGATATTAAATATTCCGTATTTTTTTCTCAATAATGAATCATAAAATAAATTTCCCTCTTACCTTCACTAAGGGAAAAAAAATGTGTTTAAAAAAATTTGGTAGATTATTCTTTAAGGAAGCCCAAATTTTTCTAAGAAATTCTCTAGGTTTTAGCTAATTAATTACGATACAAAAATGATAAATGTAAGAGTTAATAACTGAACAATATAATATAATTATTTCAAAAAATATCTTCTTTTTTTATATATATAAATCTTACATGTCCAGAATTTTAAAATAGTGATTTGATCATTGAATTAATATGATCACATAAAATAAAAGAGTTTACTATTAGCTTTCTCTGATAAGGGTTTCGCTATAAAAAAAATGGGATATTCGTTTCGCAATATAGTCTTCGCAGAATAGTAATTTAGCGCAATGTGAATTCGCGGTAAAAGTTTTGCTATAAAATTTATCACGAAAAAGTGAAATGTTTCGCTGAACAATTGCAACGTATGATTTCATAACTAATTTTCTGTGTAATTAAAAAGGATATCGAAATTGCTATTTTAGAGCCATTTTTTTGTTGCTGACTAGTTTGATTAAAGATTTAGCGCCATATTTCTGATTAGACAGTTTATCGTATTTTTTTTAGAGTCTCAGCCAAATTTTTTGGATAATTCGAGGCTCATAATCCTTTTCTATAGTATAGTTTAGAGTAAAGGATTTATGTTATTATCTGTATCAATTCATGAGGATTAAAATAATAAATATTTTTCTAATAATAGGTTTTTTAAAGTTTATATTCACTGCAAAATCTATCCAGTGTAAAATAAAATTCTAAACATCTGCAACTAAAATACCGAAAAAAAATTTGTAAAACTACTTATGAATTCGCTTGGACGTTAAAGTAATTGAATTTCAAATTTCTATAAAAATAAATTGTTTTTAAAATACAAAATTATTAATTTAGGTTTGGAACTGAAGAACATGACCCAAACTCTCAAAGGCACTAATTACATTCGCAACAATCCTTCAATAGTAAATACTTCCCATCTGTTAGAAATTCTAAATGATCATGGGAATATCACACTTTTCCTTCCGATTAGCAATTCTTCGGGTTTAGGTCTTGAACGGAATATTATTCCCGAATATTTGCATAGGGGTCTCATATTAAACGACATGCGAAGAGTCACGATGGGTAACGAATCACATGACTTACATTTCACGATTAACAAAACTAGAACGAGTACCCGATGGGCAGTTAACTGTGTACCCGTGATAAAGGATTATTTTACTACTCAAGGAATGATTTACAAATTAAAGGATTATCTTCCTCGCACGAAACAAACTGTGTACGATTTCCTGAAGCAACAAGAACTCAACTCGACTATGGCAAAATGTATAAATATATTAAAATACTTTTTATTATCTCTATGATAATTGTAAAAATTAGGCTTTTTTAAGTTTAAAGAATTTCACTACAAAATGATTAATTTATTTACCCTTTTTTTTCTTTCTTTCTTTCTTTTTCTTTTTTTTCTTTTATTTATTACTTTTATTTCTTTTATTTATCACTTTTTTTTCTTTCGCAAAATCGTTTCAATATCTTAAAACCATTTTCGATTTCCTATTTAATTTAAAATTATCTTTATCCTCTTCCATAATAATGTTTTTTTTTTGTAAATGTAGATTTGATAGCCTCAGGATTAGCCAATTTGACTCTTGTTCCCGGGAAATATCATACTATCATCTTACCATCAAATTCAGCTATAAATCAATTATCTCCACAACTCATCCAGGAATTAGAATCTAATATAGAATGTGCTAAAGGTTTTTATTTGAATTTTCTTACCATTATTCAATATTTTTTTCCTTCATTTGAAGGTAGGAATTATTTAATTTGATCATGACATCAACTTCTTAAGTTGAAGATGTTCTTAAACTTTAGTAAAAACTTTAGTAGATTTTAATAAAAAATATTTCAAACACATTTTATTTAAGATATCTGTTTATTTATATTTATATATTAAATTTTACATAAAATTAATTTAGATGTTAAAAATAAATTTATTAATTTTTAAATATTAATTGAAATAATAATTATAATAAATAAAAAAATATAATATAAAATTTATTTAAAATAAATTATAATATTCGAATTTCCTTTTATAAAAAATATTTCACGATTTTCTACTTTAACTTATTGCATTTTATTTTATATAATAATCAATTCAAATTTATATTCTAAAAAATAATATTAAATCAAGTGAAATATTTATATATGGCGTCAATCTGGCAATGTGTATTTTTTGAGCTTATCAATGTTTGGAATACCTAACCCTATAAATTTCACACAATTTGTCCATAAAATTTCAAAATTAATATAATTTATATTAAATTTTAATTATATTTTTTTTTAAATATAAATTAGATTATTTCGGATAAAATCCGATCTTTAAATTTTTAAAAACGCGCTCAAAAAATGATTTATAAAATTGAAAAAATAATATATTTCCGGAAAAAATACATAACGTATATTTGGAATCATAATGTAATTCTTAATCTTAGCTACCAATCATGTGTTTTTAACAGTTACATGCATAAGTTACCCCATATTTACATATATATATAAAAAAACATCACCTATTTATGTATTGAGAATGGATATCTATATATTATTTTTTATTAAAAGAAACGCTTAAAATGCACGTAATCGCAAAATGGATTTGTCCTAATCTCTATAAAAAACCTCACGCAATTGAAACTTTAGAAAGTTCTACGGTAAATATCGGCTCTAACATGATAAATAATGGATCCATCATTGACACTCGCGTTTTATTCAACGGAGTTGTAATATTCGTGGACCTTGTCTTGATATCGAATAAATGTAAATCAAATCATTTTTTCCACTCTTCATATTTATTAATTTCACTCAATTCCGAATTATTTCAATTCCATTTAAACAATTTCGATTGAGTTGGCATGACCATTTTAGATTTTACCCGGGTGTGTCCAAAATTTTTTATTTTACTTATATACAGGAATTACTCTAATCATAAAAGGGTCATATAACACCATGATCTTTCAGTATAATTAACCAATTAAAATTGTTGTTCTGGGGAGGAAAAGTGATTTTAATTTACTGAGTGAGTTATTAATTTTTTCGAAAATAATTTACGTAAACGTATACATGATATAGTTTTTCGAATATATAAATTATAATTATAAAAGCCCTCTCATTGGTTAAAATCTTGCGGGGAGAACCGGAAGCCAATGAATTCTTGAATTACTTTAATAGATCTAACTTCACTCTTCTAAACGAAATTCGCGATAAATTAGTTCTCATACCAGACAATGCGGCTTTCTTAGTAATAAACAGGCTGATTAATTTATTTTCATTTTTTTTAAAAGATATATGTATATTCTAATTATTTAATTTAACTTTCTCTTCCATTTTTTTAACCTCTTTATTTTCATTTTCTTTATTTTATTTCTTTTTTTTAAAAAAACCTTTCTTATAACAACTTATATTTATATAAAATCGTATATCAGAATCTTGACCAAAACATAAAAGAAAAATTGAGAGAGAATACATCATACGCTAAAGAGTTCCTTGGAAATCATATAGCTCTATCTAATGTCCTGAATAGTATTCAACATCTTGAAGGGGCAAATGGTTCAATGTACAATGATATTACGCGTGTAAAAATTTTGTAAAAAACTTGATATAGCCTTAATGTATTCGAAAGCATTTCCAGCGGTGGAATATAGAAAAATGAAGGGAATAATATTTATGAAAAAAGAAATGTAGTAAATATTTTAATCAGTTAAGATTCATAAATGTAAATAAAATTTTTATATAAACCTTTTTAAAACATTACTTCTCATTTAAAAATTAAGAATTAAATTGTGATTTTATATATCTTAAGATTTCAACTTTATATAGTAATATTTTTGGATATAAATTCATTATATATTTTATAAAATTAAAACCTTTAAATTTTAATTTTCTTTTGGCGATTTTGACATGCAAAACCCTTTGCCAAAGTTTTATCATTTATAAAAATTAACTATTATCATTTTTTAAAATAATTTGAATATTAGATTGTGATACCCAACAATATACAATGTGTAAGAAAGATTAGCAAAAAGACCTATCATTTCTGCGGCGGAAAATTTCGCTTTATCCCTAAGGTAACGCAAAATAATATGAACTCATTTTAGATGGCTATTTTTTAATTAATAAAATTAAGGTTGGTATTTTATTATTTGAAATATTTATATATTTGTATTTAAATATATTATGAAAGAAAAAATTATCTGGTTAATTATCTTTTAATCTATAGTAGTTAGTAGTATTTATTAAAAACCAATTTTAATAAATAATATTGAATTATTAGTTATATACAAAATCTTTTAAATAAATGTAATGATTTTACTATTGGCATTATATTTTAAATAAAATATTAAATAAATTTTTTTATATATTAAGGCATTAGTTCCTCTAATTGGGAATTTATCAGAAATTCTATCCGAATATGAAGAAATCAGCTTATTTAGACAGTTTCTAGATCAATCCAATTTAACATTCAAGGCAGATATTTATTATACAATCTGGGTTCCAAGTAACAGAGCCTTAGAAAATATCGTAAACAATTCCCACATAGATAATACTTTGCTAAATGTGAATGTGTCAATTGAGAATTTCGTTAAAATGCATATATTCCCAGGTTATTTTTTTAAAATTATCATATTTAGATTTATTAATACAAATTAAGAAGGAAAGAAGGAAAGAAAGAAAGAAAGAAAGAAAGAAAGAAAGAAAGAAAGAAAGAAAGAATATCTATGATATATATAAAAGCCGTGTCAAAGTCACACTGTTACAGTCACAGCAATTTAGAGTTTTGAAAATTGTCTGTGATGATTTTATATAGTACCCAATATAGCCTAGCCATTTCATCAGAGTATTAATATTGATTTTCATAGTATCAATGTTTAAATTATCAAATTTTTATTGAAAACTGAATATATTTGTTATACAATTATATAACTATTAATTATTTTTATGCATATAAAACCTCCTATTATTTGTTAACATTGTAATTTAATAACAAGGTCTTAAATTTAATTTTATATTTTATATCTAAGTAATAAATTATTTATTATTTGGAGTGGTAGTTGTCTGTTTAAAATTTAAATTAGGATGATCATATTTCACTAATTTTTAAAAGGCACTGTAATATATTCATAAATTTCATATAAATACCAGGAGCTAACCAATTGAATGATGGGTAAATAAGATATTTCCCTTTCATTTGATGATAAATTATTTTGAAAAATTTTCCCAATAATATATAATGGCAAAAAAAAATGTACATAACCGATTTAATTCATGTAAACCACTTACATTGAACTTATTTTTCTGGATCAATGGAAAAAATAAATTATTATGGGTTTAGTCGGCTTGGAATTTTTCACAATTATTATGGGCTTGGACCTGGCTTGGGAAATTTTCAAAATTATTATGATCATATGCTTAAAACTTTTAATTTTAAATATGGGTTAGACATTGGCCTGAAATTTTTTTTGAAGACATGGCTGGGCCTTATCAAAAAACCCCAGGCTCAAAAAAATAGTATCCACTCTTAGTCTTAATGGGTTGGCCTTGGTCTGCCATAGGGGTTAGCATGGTTAAAAAGAATAAAAAATAGAGATGGTTTTTAGAGATTTACCTATCTCCAGGCTGGGAACAAATTTTGAAAAATAACTATGGGCTGGCCAGACTAATTATTATAAGTTGGGCTGTGCTTGAAAAATATTTTATTAATTATTTTGGGCTGGACATAGGGAAAAGTATTCAAAATTATTTTGGGCTGGACTTAGAGAAAATTATTCAAAATTATTATCAACTTGGAGGCTTGGGAATTTTTTATTATTAACTATGGGTCAGACAGCGGCCTAAAACAAATTTTTTTGCAGGCCCTGGGCTCGGCCTTATCAAAAAACTAAGGCCTAGATAATCTGATTTTGATTGTATTTTTAAATTCAATATGATTTTTTTAAATATTTTATTTCAGTTCTCAACTAACTAAATTATTATGATCTTTCATGGGCCTTGGAACATTTTTTTCAAAATTATTCTGGCTTTGTACATTACTTGAGAATTTTATTAAATATTAAAAGTAAAAATTTAATTTTGACTAAAACACCATAGTATTTACATTTAGTTTTAATGGATTGATCCTGGTATGAAGAGGGTAAAAAGAATAAATAATGGATATTATTTTTAAATAACACATAAAAACTATCATAAAAATATGGAGAAAATTCTCATTCCCCGTCATTTTTGACGGGCTATCTACTAGTATATAGTCACAATTCATTTTTTTATTATTATTTTTAACAAATTATCTCATAGGGCTATATCACGAATATTGCTATCACGCTAAAGGTAATGAATTCTATTTGAATCCAAAACTTTCATATCTCCATAACGAAAATGGACAAATTATTTACTTCTATCCTGACTGGCCAAGAAACGTGATAAATGCTACCATAACAAAGTGGGATATTTTGGGTCAAAATTTTTTGATACATTTCGTGGACAACTATTTTGACGGTAACATAGTTAAATTAATTCCAAATTTTGCGCAGAAAAGTGGAAGCCCAATTTGGCTAAGTTATTAGAGGATGCATCATTATCTGATAATTGTTACTAATATTATAAGCTTATTTATATTTCTTTCTTAATAAATCTATTGTTCCCTTTATTATGTATTATTTATTTATTTTTTTAAATGAAAGAAAACCAGTCATTTTAAATGGTATAATTACTGATAACTTTAAATACAATTTAATTGAATATGGTTGTAATAATTTTATTATATTTTTTTGTTTTTATTCGATTTTGAAGATTTTATTCGGAAAATTATCAATTTTTTCATCAAAAACGAATAAATATTTATTTGAAAACCTTTGTCACTCTTATTTTTCTCGATCGGCTAAAGAGGTGGGAGAGGGGGGGGGGGGTTAACGGACGTATATAATAAAGATATTTTTATTGTCAAACAATGTTGTATCAAAAATTTTAAAGAATTGGTTTTATAGTAAACGAACGCATCAATTTTGTATCGACTCAATGAATGATGAATAATTCGATACAAAATTTGTTAATATTATAAATAACTTCTCTTTTCATTTCTCAATTATATTTTAAAAATTCGAATCGAAAAACTGAAGATATACAACTCATATATATATATAATGTGTCTTGTTGGGGATTAAACATTATCAAATTATAATATATATTATTTATAGCATTTTAATATTTTATAAAACAAATGATTATTATAATTTGTAATTTTTTTAAATTCTTTATTATATATTTTAAGAGTTCATGTTGATTAAATTATCCATAAATTTTGTATCATTTTATGGGGGTTTGG